AATAATAAAAAAGTATATAAATTATGAATTAAAACTTAATCCTCTATCAAGATACATTGTTACTCTCTTTTATTTGAAAATTTAAAATTTCATTTTTTTGTTGCCACAAAATACACAATTACACAGTTAGAATTTTTTCCCCTGAAATTCACACCCAAAGGGCATCATTTTCCAAGAGCGACCCATATCAACTCACACTGCTGTAATGTATCCCTGCACCTCTAAGGATCGTGCTGTTTCTCCTCAGGCACTATGGGTAATCACCTCCTAGCCAATCCAATGCTACAGACCCGCTCTGGCTCCTCCCCTTACAACACCCTATTGGCTGAAACATTCAACGCCCCCTCACCAGCAGTTTTCAACGCCACTGGTCAGTGTGTGTGTGTGTGTGAGTGTGTGTGTGATGAAGAGCACTGTTTTGTGTGTTTTCTCTAAATGTTTGTATCTGTACTCAATTTCTCCTCTCTTCTGTCTTGCTCTCTCTGTTCTGTCTCTTTATGAACTGATCTACAGGCACGTTCAGAAACTCAAGTATGGACACGTGTTCACACTCTCTCTGTCTGTGTTTCTTTCATTTCCATGCTGCTCCTTCATCTTCACCTCCCTGCTGTGTCAATTCAGTTATTCAAATCAAGCATGACAAGAAACATTCAGAAATGCTAGGGTCTCATTTCTGCAGTATCACATATATGTCACAATGACTGGATCAGATATCAGATTTTCCAGTGTTTTAGATTTCCGTTACTACAGAACTGGATTATTAACTTGAATAAAGGAGAGAACTGGGGGCTATAAAATAAAGTTAGCTGGGGTCCTATGTCCAAGTTGGGTTTGGAATGACACAAGGGTGCGTAATTTTAGAATTATTCTGGTTTACTGTGAGCAAATTGACAAAGAGGCATGACAGTCGGCGTTATTGAGGAAAGAGTGAATGTTCATGTTCACTACATGCATGAGAGAACGTAAATGCCAAAAGCATCCCTATATGCACACATTCATGCATATGCATCAGAATCAATTATATATCAATGCCATATTCACTAAACAGTGTCACGTTCTGACAAAAAAAACGAACTTGAAACATTTCCAGATGGATCTGAATTCAAATTTTTTAATTCAAGCATTTAATTCAGAAAATCAGATGTCTGCCACTGTGTAATCGAGCATTTCTCTCTCTGTCCTGTAGAGGGCACACTGTCGCGCAGCCGTGAGTCGTGTGGGCTGGAAGGAGTCCGGCTCAACGGAAACTACAACAACAGCTACTCGCTACACGGAGGGAGTTCGGATCTGCTGGGGGGCGTTCCTGTGGGATCCGGGGGCGTATCTGGAGAAGTCAGCCCCGCCCTTTTGACGCCTAGAGGGGCGGAGCCTGCTGGCGGTTTAAGGCGGAACCTTTCTGATGCGGCGGCGTTGGAGAAGATGATCATATCCGAGCTCGTCCAGAGCAACCTGCGGCCTTCCACCGATCACTATGGCAATGGACCGAATTCCACAATGCACCGGCAGGATTACGCAACGTTGACGAGTCACCGAGAGCCTCCGCAACGGCCCTTGCCCCGCCCACCTCCGCCGCCTCCGCAGGACGAGGAGGAGCTGCTGTACAAAGCGCTGGAAAAGCCACACCTCCCGGACAAGCCCCGCCTACCTGATAAACCCCTCCTGCCGGAGAAGCCCCGCTTCCTGGAGCACGCCCAGTCTGTGTTCTACCAGAGCGAGGAGGACTCGGAGAGCTTCTCGGCGGAAATCACGGACGGCGTGGGCGGGGCCGGGCTGGACTCCGCCTCCCTGTACGCGCGGGACCGTGATTCGTCTTATCCCGACAGCAGTCCCGAGGCGCTGGGGGCGGAGCCACACCCCACCCTCCCGCCGGACGAGCTGTACTTCAGCGCAGGACGCCAAGCGCACATCTCGGCCTTTTACCAGCCTCCGCCTCGCAGGACCAACGACGAGGCTCGGGCGGGACTGCAGCCCTCGCAGGGGGAAGGCGACGGACAGATGCAACTGGTGACGAGTCTGTGACTAGGGCGCTGGTGACCAGGACACGTAGATCTGGAGGAGGACAATGAGGGTGGACGTCTTCAACATTGCCATCATCATCGCAATTAGTATCTGGGCGAATCTCTCGAAACCATGCGTCTGGTTTGTAGGTCACCCACAAATCTTAAGAAAGACTTCATTTGAGTTCTGAGTTCACTTGATTTTGTAGTGAAATATGGGCCAGACGTGTTTCCAGGAGGTTCACGCATTAGTATGAAGCTACTTTCAGATAATGAAAACCATTATCGTGTGTCTTGAGATGTCCCAGAAAGAGCAGTGCGCTGAAAGCCTTGGGAGATCCCTGTTGAGATGACGATGATGATGATGATGATGATGATGATGGCAATGTTGGCTTCCTCCTCCACGTCTCTGTCTCCTGGTCACCCGAACACCCACCCTGCTCATCTCACTGCCATTCAAGCACATCCATCTGTCCTTTCTAAGAAGAAATCTTCTTATCGGGTAGTTTTTCCTCCATTTGTCCATTCTCCATCTCTTCCCTGCTGAGAAAACGAGTTTAAACCATCCTGGGGTAGGTATCTGTTCTCCTAACCTGGCCAAACTGGTCCGTTTTGCTGGTTTTGGTGGGAGACCATCTGAAAACCACCTTAGGCTGGCTTAAGCTGGTTTTTCAGTGGATTTCTTTCATTCAGGGTGGTGTGGTTTATGAGTGTCAGACCTTTATCAGAATGTGATGACACTTACACCAGAGACCGCAGCTCTTACACATGCCAAAAAATTTAAAAAAAAATCACACACTTGGGGAGCAGCTACTGTCAGGATCACGCTCTCACCGTCATAAGGTTAAGAGTCACGGGTTCAACACGTCAAGCGACTCAACCAGACTTGTTTTTGAGCAGAGTGACGGATAACGAACTCTCGCGCCACCTGTCCGGACGCCAACCAATCATTCGCTTTGGTGTTCAAGACACTGACCAATCATGTTGTTGGGTTTGGAGAACGTTGACTCAATGCTCCGCCCCCTTCCTGTGTTTAAGTAGGTTGATCAAGGACGTGACGTTTAGCGGCGGGCTTTTAACGGCAACTTCCTGTAAATAAGAACTGAGAGACGCAACGTCTCTGGACATGCTTCTCTTTCACTTACGAGTTTATGGTTGAAAAAAGTCTTAAAGAATATGTAGATGAACTGATGACACTGTCTCCTCTTCTGGCCTTTTTCTCACTCTCTCTTTCGGTCTTTCTCTCTCAGAGTGTTTCATGTAAAAAAGATAAGAAATGTTTTTTAATCAAAATAAAACGGACAAAAGCAAACCGATGCTGTTCGGACTTTTCCTCAGCTAATTTGCTTAAATGTCATTCAGGATCTCCGATGAGCACTGTGTTGACCAGGAGGTCAAGGCTCAGCTGGTGAACAGGTAGAGAGCATCTCAAGCATCTAGGATGAAACACAGCATCCGGTGAGCATTATAACTTATTTTGCAGCCCTTCTAATGTTTGGCTGCTAAGGTTGTGTTAATATTTGTCTTAAGAAAATTATATTTAAAAAAATGTGATTCGGCCTTATTGGTCCTGGAACAACATTGCTGGTAACCAATCAGATTTTTGGACAAGTTTTAGAGTTACGCTGAGTAAGGATGTGATTGTTTTTTCCATATTTTCTGACCTAAAGTATGAATTGTGTAAATCCAAGGGAAATCAAATCAAATTTGTTGTGACGACTCAACAAAAACACAAGGTTTAAGGTCTCTCTGTGGATTTCTGCCAAAATAAAAGTTCTAAAATTGAAAGATAAGAAGTTAAGACCATAAACATTAGTAGATTTCTGTTGTTCTAGTAAATTATTATAATTATTAAATACTATTTTTATTTACTGTATAATACTATTATTCATTTCATACTATTATACACAATTTTTTATAATTTAAATAACATTAAAATTTAATTATTATAATAATGATAAAAACGTTTTAAACAATAAAAGTAATTATTATTATTATGTAGTCATATCAAACTGGGAAGAACAGCGTTTCTTTCTTTTTTAGTCATGGCTGATCACATGCCTGGTTAAGTACATAGTGCTGCGTTATCATCATCAGCAACATTTGTTTTCAGTTGGGTTTGTGTTTTAACACTGAGATGTCGTGTGTGTGTGTGTGTGTGTGTGTGTGTGTGT